GTCGAATATTCGCTGCTGATTACTAACGAATATCCGGAGCCCGAAAAATGGTATTCGGGACAGCCCTACTGTCCAGCATTATTTAGCATTTACTGTTNNCCATTTCCATAGCCCCGCCAAACATATTTTCCACCAGCCGCCACTGTTGATAAAGTTCCTGGGCAATAATTGGAATTATTTATAATCCATAATTCAATTTTTATGTAAAAAATCGAAGAGCAAAAGTTAGCTGCTAATGGTAGCCACCAGAGTGGCTGCTGCTTCCGGTCTTGGCTATGCGGCAGTATAATACACCCACATGACCAAATAAGGACTATGTGGGAGTTCCCCTCGATTCCATTGGCTCTGACGGTTAGAAAGATATGTCACATGTGAAAATCCAGCAGGGGGGGCCAGAGATATGAAAAATCCACCCGAATGGCCCCAGAAGAGGTTTTATTTTGCTAAATCTGTCTAAAAATGTCAAATATCACTTGTTTTGCATCAATCTTGATACAGGGTACTTATTATATGTTGTACTTTGGATTCCTAAAGCTTTTAGTCTACTAACCCATCATCCAAGGTTAGTTTTCACTATAAGTACAAAATATGTTTTGGAGGGACACTATAATTTACAGTTTTTTACCATGTTCAATCTGAATTTTCTTTAAAATAAAAAACATCTATATTGAATCTGACTTTTCTACTTCCAACTGACAGGTTTTACCATTACTTTGAGAAAAAAGATTATTAATTTAACCCTTTTAGAAGGGAAGATATGGTCATTTGTTCTGGGAATGTCATTTTCGAGCCTGAAACCTGAAAAACAGGCTCGGGGTTTAACAGGTTAAACAATAATAATCCATCCTTGCTGTGAAACATTTCCTGGTCTCAACACTTTGCTGATCCACGGCAACAATCATTTAAATGTTCAAATTGAGTTTGTGTGGAAAGGACAGTGTGTCATTAAGGTTTGCAGAAAAGGATATCAATAACCTCTAGCTCTATTTTATTCTGGTTTATTGATTCACACAGATCAAAATTAAACAGAGGGCATGTAACACCCTCTAAGAATGGACCCAAAACTCACAGATCAATGCTTGCCTGGCTGTGGAGAATTGGCACTTTAGAGTTAACACATGTTGGGCAATGAAGCCATTGTGTGTGTTATTTAAACTGGATACATTAAACAGTCTCCACTAAATGCACATTGAACATAACCTGTGAGCTTCACTTATAAGATAAATAAATAAACTATACAGGAGATGTTTGTGCAGCTAACTTTGCTTTGCTGAAGGAGAAGAAAATCTAGTGGCAACCAAACTCTCATTCTTCCGGATCAGGCTGAAGTTGGGGTGCAAGAAAACATACAAACAAACAAACAAACACTCTCTTCCCAAATTAGCCATAGCTTTGCCCTGATGTAACACAAAATCCATGGTGACATCAGCAAACTCATACAATCACGTCCTATATTGATTCACCCGTCGTTACTGTAGGACATGTTAAGAATAATGATTTCAGTAACTGTGATTGATATGAGCATTACATATACTTCATATTTGTAGGCGTTTGGACAGTGACATATGTTTACTACTAATTAAGTACTAATTCAAACTGGATTTCAAAAGAAACAATAACTTTAAGATTAAAGTGCCAAGTCTCAGCTCCCCTGGTGTTTAAGGCTGTTAACATTCATACAGCGCAATCAATGTGCTTTACTCTTAGTCTCTTTTATCCATGGGGATCTCTAAAAATGATTGCATTAAATCATTATGTGTTGGTAAACAACCTGAAATTAGTGGCAAAAGTTGGCACTCTCACGTCATAGTCAGTGAATAATGTCATGTCCAGTGTGCTGGAGTACAGAGCTACAGATAATCTGTCCTAATAGTTATGAACTGCTCTGTAGTTTTACTTTCCGATGTTCTACATCATGAGCTCAATCTATTTCACTCATAGTATGGCTCACAGCATTACCACCCTTGAAAATAACATGTTTCCAGTTTAAATGTCCGATTATATTGATGCATTCTCTCTGTGTGAACGTGCCTTGCAATTTGGCAGGTTGGCCTGGTAGTGTGCATGAACACTGCTCTGATTGGCATCGCTAATAGTGCCTTTAGTATTGAGTTAGGCTGCGGAGGTATACACCCCCATTTGTGAAAGATGATGTTACTTTACTGATTGATGCGCCATTCCCTAGGTTTGGAATGATGTGTCTCACCTCCACGACCTCTGCTCCATATGAGATACCGAAAGACCCTGTTGTAACCCTGAATCTATTTTCTGGCATGCATTATACAGTAGGCGAAACATCCACAAGTCTCCAACCACAATCCACTGGACTAAATTAACCCCACTACAGCTCTTCCTCTCCTGAAAGACAAGTGACTGTAATCAACACTTGGTTTAATCATACCTCTCGCATAGTGTGAAAAACAGAAAAAACAACCACTTGTTAAGCCATGAAAAGTAGTACCAGAATAGACAAACACAAATTAACAAAATCTTGTTAAACATCTGATACAATTAGTTAAGTTCCTAATGTAATACCTACCTAGCAAAGCCACGTTTCATGTTGTTTTTGGTGCAGGTATGATACTTGGGGGCTAGGTAATATAATTTAAAAATGGGCAGTTGTGGACAGAGTGCATATAGACATTAGACATTTAATTTCACTTTGATGGGGGATACATTGTCCAACCATTTATATTTTAATAAATAGATAATGTATTTAGCAAGTTGTTCAAATTGCATGAAGTATTTATTTTTTACTTTCAATCAACACCACACAAACTGCATGTTTTACACACATTAAATCATTACATTTAATATACATCTTTCACAGAATATTCTGTTCTGCATTTTCCAATTACTCCAGAGGCCAGTTTAATTGCATAACATGACAGTTTAATTAATATAAGTTTTTGTTAATTATATTGAATATTGTCACTGATTCAGGGCAATAAAATGAACCAAATCATTTTTGCTGTTTAGTTGAAATGGTAATAATATTGGTGTAATGGCATTCAGTCAATGGCCCCTAATGTGCGCTTCACTCTATTACCCTCGTCTTTCTGAAATGTAGTTCTAAAAATTAATATTCCATTTTCATGTTAATTATCTAACAACATTTTCAAGGCTTCATAAATGTTTTCTACTAATTTGACATGGAGACAAGTGCATGTGACTGACCGCATTGAAGAATTATTCATACTCTAGGATTAAACACGAGATAAACTCTCACAACACAAAGTCACGCCAGACTCCTTGAGTCCCCTTCAATGTGACAAAAACTGTGAAGAAAAATAAATGAAGAGACGGTGATGTGCTAAATGGGTTCAAATGTGTGTCGCAGTTAACCATTACAAGGTCACTGATACATTTAAATGCTCCAGAGGAGAGCGAAAGAGAGAAAGGATTGATTGAACAGATTCCACGTCCCGCTCTCCTCATTAGACTCATTTCTCAGCTGCCTGGGGTTAATTACCACACACACACCTCACGCTGTTGTTCCACTTACATCATAATTACTGTGGCGGGGATCGAGAACAATCTAAAGCTCATGATATGAGGCCCTCCACCAGCCACACATGCACGCACATACGCATACATACACACACACGTATATACAGACACTCACGTCACAACAGCCTCCGTCCCCATTAATATTTTCTGCCTGAACCTCCCGGTATATTCCCAGATCCCCTTCCCTCCCCAGGAGCCAGCTGTTTTTGGGATTGATTTCATTTATTTAATGATGGCTGTGTTAATGACCCTTTGAACACCGCTGATGGTGCTACAGACACCACAACATCTCAGAGAGGAGGATTGGATGAGGGCTTTATGAGTGAGGGTGGGTGATATTAAAGAGGGCAGATTGAAATAGAGGAACTACAACAGAAATACGGGGTAGGCTATAGAGACATGTTTGCAGGCGGTCTTTGTCTTTCTCAAACAAACAAGGACACTGGATGCAGCATAGAAATTAATAACCACTCCATGGACTCGTTTTTTCACTGTGACACAGATGAAACGAGACCTATCCACCTCTCATCAGAGGGGGGTAGATTGTTAGCATGACTCTTGTGGATATTTTTTTCTAAGGCGCTAGTTTGGTAGCTTTGGAGTAATCCCAGGGTATGCAAATGGATTTTTCTGCAATCAACCCTTTCCTTGGGGACATAAAAGGAAATCATTTAGAAAGCGTCTGCAGCAAATGGTATGCATATGTTTTAGTAATGCTTAGTTTCTTAGCATGCATACTAGTTGCCAACAATAATTCAATCATGTATCACAATCGAAGTCACATATGGAAGACGAGTGCTTGAACTGCATTGTTGTTTATTTAAAATACAGTTCTTTGCAACTGCATCATTTCAACAATAGCTTGTACTATCAAAGGTGTGTGTGCAGTTCTCATTCATAACACTCCGTTCGATGTCTCACTATGGGATGCGCCTCATCGCGGAGCAAACAGAAGCATCAATCTCATTACGCCAATCCTGATTGGCTGGTGATCTTGACGTCAGCGTCAGGGAATCCACCCCCTATAAGTAGCTTGCGCTACGCCGCATGCGTCATTCAAACACCTCTTCTCGCTTCAGAGCACATCTCTATATTGGTGGCCGGGCTAGCTCACACAGTCCACAGACGGAACCAAGCTATCCAAGCTAACTTCGGTCGACGGGCGCTCGCCGGCTACTTCTATATATACTTCTGCAAGAAGACTGTTAATACTAACACACCAGTTAGTGTTGCAAATCGACCTCGCTGTTTTTTCTTCGGAAATAAAGATAAGGTTTTGATTTTTTCAAGCTAGCAATACACGTGTTGCTAGTTTGTCTTCCCTCACTACCGACACCACGGTAGCGAGGANAAGGAAAAATCAATGAAGGAAAACATGTTAGTGATATTGGATAAAATGGAAATCATATTTTAAAGATAATATGTTGATGAAAAACAGTATAATAGGGGACCTTTAAAATATGATTTCCATTTTATCCAATATCACTAACATGTTTTCCTTCATTGATTTTTCCTTTCTGTTGAACAGACCGAAGGATTCGAAGCCGAAGCTGAAGCGCTCTCAGAGTTTCGGACCTTCGAGCGCCAGCGGGATAAAACAGATGCTGCTGGAGTGGTGCCGCTCCAAAACCATCGGATATCAGGTAAAACTCCACATATTCAAATAGTATTTTCTCGATAACAGCTTCGTACTAAATAAACCAAAGTCTTGACTCACAATATTGATTTAAAAATGGTCGAGTTGCCTTCCTTAAGAAAAAATGGTCTGTTCCACTGCGTACTACCGTTTTTCTTCTGCTGTTCCCTTTAGTGTTTACTTCCTGTCTGTCTTCTTCTGCTGTTCCCTTTAGTGTTTACTTCCTGTCTGTCTTCCGCTGTTCCCTTTAGTATTTACTTCCTGTCTGTCTTCTTCTGCTGTTCCCTTTAGTGTTTACTTCCTGTCTGTCTTCCGCTGTTCCTTTTAGTATTTACTTCCTGTCCGTCTTCTTCTGCTGTTCCCTTTAGTGTTTATTTCCTGTCTGTCTTTCGCTGTTCCTTTTAGTATTTACTTCCTGTCTTTCTTCTTCTGCTGTTCCCTTTAGTGTTTACTTCCTGTCTGTCTTCTTCTGCTGTTCCCTTTAGTGTTTACTTCCTGTCTGTCTTCTTCTGCTGTTCCCTTTAGTGTTTACTTCCTGTCTGTCTTCTTCTGCTGTTCCCTTTAGTGTTTACTTCCTGTCTCTTTTCTGCTGTTCCCTTTAGTGTTTACTTCCTGTCTGTCTTCTTCTGCTGTTCCCTTTAGTGTTTACTTCCTGTCTGTCTTCTTCTGCTAATTTCTCTGACATCCAGCTCTCTGTTTTTTAACCTCTTTCCTTCTCTTATTCACTTTTTTCTTTACTGGGGACGGTTGAGCCTAGTTCAGACATATTCCCTTAATCCTCCTTAGCAACGGTCTGTTCCCCTTAGCAACGGTCTGCTCTCTTTAGCAACGGCCTGCTCTCCTTAGCAACTGTCTGCTCCCCTCAGCAACGGTCTTCTTGCGAAAATTGCAGACCTCTGGAATGTCAGAATAGACCAATCAGAATTGTGTATTCAACTGTCTATAAAGGAAACTGAATAAACCATATATCAGATTAAATATGATGCTGTTTTTATGTTGTTTTTTCTCTCAGAACATCGATATACAGAACTTCTCGTCCAGCTGGAGCGATGGGATGGCGTTCTGCGCTCTCGTTCACTCCTTCTTCCCGCTGGACTTTGACTACAACACGCTGGAACCAAAGAACCGCAAACAGAACCTGCAGCAGGCCTTCACCACCGCAGAGTGAGTACTCTGGAGTATCTGTTCTATGAGTAGAAGTATTAGTAGTTCATGGTAAAGGTAGTACAATTCTTCTTTTAAAGGAACCAATGTTTGGTTTCTTCTGAGCGAGCATTTTTGATATTCAAATCAGAAAGGTGTTAAAAAGTAACGCAAGGCTAAAATGTATTTGCTTTATTTCAAGGTCGACAGTATATATGTACAGACGATATAAAAAAAGCAATACAAATAATACTTTTCTTTTTAATATGGGTTATTTTTTCAAAATATGAATCATTGTTGAACATTTGAAAAAAATAATGTACGTTATTTTCAATTAAATATTAGTTGATTTCTTTTCAATTACATCGTTTTTAAAAATAAGTAATTTATTTATCTAACAAAAAATAGGGAACTTTTTTTCGAAATCTAAGGTATCTTTGAAATAATTGTTTCCTTAAAATGTGTAGATATTTTAGGAAATGAACAGAACATTTAAAGATTAAGATTTTTTTATTTAACATATAGGTAACTTGAATAGATAGACAATCATCACACATCACTAACTCATATTTTAGGTTACATATTTACATATCAATTGTAACTTAATGTGAGCAATTCTGTTGTCTTTCTGCAGGAACCAGTGAAACCTTTTGGAGTATTTACACTTTATTTATTAATGCGTTTCAGGAAGCAGGCGGACTGTCTGCGTCTGATTGAGGTCGACGACATGCTGGTGATGGGCGACAGGCCGGACGCGATGTGTGTGTTCACCTACGTCCAGTCTCTGTACAACCACCTGAAGACGTTCGAGTAACTCTGTATCAGAGGAGATTATACATTAAAGGTCACCTATTATGCAGAATCCACTTTTCTCCATGTCTCTTCTACATCAACATGTGTCCCCTCTTCTCCATGTCTCTTCTACATCAACATGTGTCCCCTCTTCTTCATGTCTCTTCTACATCAACATGTGTCCCCTCTTCT